GTGCAGAGCTAGAATTCCAGATGTTTGTAATTTTCTGTGTATTTGCTAGAATATGATGTTTTTTCAGAGGAGGTTTTTAATAGCTTTCAAAACCAACGATGGTCACTAAGACTGATATGCTTGGTGCATGCTTTGCAGTTGCAGTTTAACTTGTTTTCAGAACAATCTTTCATAAGTTAAAGATCCAATTGAAAAGGAGAAGATGCTATTTCTGGAAAGTAGTGTACAGCAGACTCTCTTTAGGGACGAAAGAATCAGTGAGGTTTCTTCTTACAGCCTAAACTTTGAGCTGCTTCTTTTACATAAACATATAAGGAATTAACAGGATCCTCGTTTTAAGCATCATAATTTTCTTTATGATTATAAATACCCAGTAAATAATACAGAAAATAACACAATCTTGACAAGTAGCATTAATTACCATTGGATGCACACTGCAAAGAAAAGTTAGATTTAACATCATGAGCTTTCTGGCTAGATCGATGTTGCTTGCAAAGAAAAAAAAATCTCTTTCATGCTCCATTTGTTAGCTGCTGTGGGCTTTGTGAAATTGAGCTAGAGCTGTAAAAGGCTCTGTGGAAACTATTATTTCTGCTTGTTCTGAAAGTTTCTTTTTCTCTTTTTCTGTTGGTAGTATGTCATCAGTCACACGCAGCTAGAAACCAGGACCCTGCAGCTTTCTGTCTGGCACTATGACAGATTTGGACGCAACAGCTTCCTTGGGGAGGTGGAAATTCCATTTGATTCCTGGAACTTCGAAAATCAGGGCGATGAGTGGTTTGTGCTGCAGCCCAAGGTAGGGCTTTCCAGAGGCTGGTGATAGTGCTGCGAAGCAAATTTAGCAAGGTTTAGTTGTTTTTCCTTTGGAATGTGTTTATAAAGCGCGACTTTATGAGTGTCTAACATGGCAATAAAAATCACATCTTTGTTCCTTATTCAATCAAAACATACTGGTTTTAAAGTCTTCATGAAAACTTGACATGTAATCTTCTACTTAAAACCAAAAAAAACCCCACCTTCTAAACAAGTTTCTCTAGTCATAAGCCACATTGGAGAAATGACCTAGTAAAAAAATGATTTTATATAAACAGCCCATAAACCAAAGGACTTTTCCCAACCCAACCCTTAACAGTTTGTTAAAGAACACACCTTTCAGCTGTGACAAAATGAGTTTCTTAATCACTTATTCACCTCAGCTAGGAAGGTACAAGATCAGGCCTTCTTCAGGTACAAGATCAGGCAGATCAACTGGTCTGTGAAGCAGGACTTGCGTTGTCCGTAGCTAAAGGCAGGATAATTCCTGTCTCTTGGCAAAGGTGATTATTTTTGAAGGGATTCAAAGAGCTATATTGTAACCTAGAGGATTAAAGGCTTGTGCCTTGCTTGCTTCAGGAACGGATTCCAGGATTGTCATTTCAAAAAGTGTATTTTTCTAGTTACGGAAACACCCAAGGTTGTACAATGACTGATGTGGAGATTGACTCAGATGACTTGTTTGCCCCATGTTCATTATATTTAAGGAAGCAGTGTTAACATCTGGGGGTTTGGGAGGATGTGTTTGATTTGTGGCTTTCTCTCAGGTGGGAGATGGATTCCGATTGCTGTATAGTTAATTTCTATATGTAGCCTTTTGTGAGGCTTTGATCTCTGTCACAAATTTATGTTTTACTAAAGAACTTGCCAGAAAGTACATAAGGAAATCAGTCTCTTTTTTGAACACATACACACCTCATACTTCATAAGCAGCAAGGGAGATCATCCCCAGTTTCCTAGTTCAGCTTTGTTAATAAAAGTGACCACCAGCTCTTCCTTTGTGGCCTAGGTTGGGTCTAGAGCGGGAAGAAAAAGTGGCTGATGATGGCACACGTTTCAGTCAGCACTGCATCCTGGCCAGGATTACACCGTACTCCTTACAAGCTTGCTTTGTCCAAGTTACTTCTGTTGGGTCTGGTCTTGAGGTAGAAGAAATGTCATGGCTCTGGCTGGTGTCAGGGGTTGCTCTTATTTAGTATCCACACAGCTACAACAATAAGATACACATCTAGTATTTATTTTGTTTGCAGTTTTTATGCAGTGTTGGTCTGAAATTGAGCTTCTTATCATGCAGTATTCTCTTTGACATCCCATTTCAATCTCTGGGAGTTTGTGTGTATGGGTGGTTTCCTTTAATCCTAACAGAGGAAAAAAAGATAGTCGTGAGACTCTTCTGCTCAGGAAAAAAATAATGAGGCACTAAGCATTTCAGCCATTCCAGCTGAAAGGTGTTGTCTGATTATTTCCAAACTCATTAAATGGATTTTTAAATGAGTTCTTTTTTACCAAAGAAAGCAAATACAGAATTGGTCTTGTCTGCCTCCCAAGTTGTTAAAAATAATGTTTCTGAACTTAAAATGGTGCAAAGATTTTCAATCAGCAACTGTAATATTTTTTAAATGTCAATTATTGCATTTTGAATTTTTTAAAAAGCACATGTTAATACACATGCAAATTACATGCTGTTCTCCCATATGAGCTGCCTGATTGAGACAGCAGTGAAATACTTCCTGGGTTTTATTACAGTGCTTTATTTGTTCTGTCATGAGTCATTTAGCTGCTTTAGTGAAAAAGTTGGAGATTTTAAGACCTGTTTCTTGTATGAGCACCGAATGTCTGTTTTCAAGGGGAGTGTGGTTAAATCAGAAAAAGAAGAGAAAACAGCTTTGTGGTTAAAGAGGGGGCAGAGTCTAGAGCCAAATTACATGTGCATTTGAGGGGGGAGCTTGACAAATTGTTCGTGACATACAAACTTGCACCACCATTGGTCCAACGGTAGAGCAGAAAAAAACAATCCTTGCTGCCTTTGTGGGAAACTTGACCCTAAACTTGTATAGTTTAGACCGTAAGCAAGCTGCCCAACTGGCAAGACTATGAAGTTGTGCAAATTATTCCACAGCCGTTTACTATGGGTTTTCTTTTGTCCCCCGTTGTAGCAACTGGCATCAGACACCGGTGGGGATGGGACGGCTTTTCTCAGTCAGTGGAAGAATGCCTGTGTTCCTGTAAAAGCACTTCAAAGTCACAAAAGGGCTGCAGTGTTATTGCTAAAGTTGTGTTGTTCCCTGTCCCATTCTCGTGTACAGGCTTGCCCCCCCCTAACCATGGTTAGTGCCTTAGCCTGGAGTCTAGGATATGAAGGCAGTGCTGACTGTGTATTACACCATGTGTATTTCTGGTGGGGTTATTTTGGTTCTGTTTTCTCTTGATAATAGAATTTTGACCTTCCTGGGGAGTCAGGAAACAAGGTGAATGCATCTCAGAGAAATACTGTCACAGATCAGACATTGGTCTATAAGCAGTTCTTTAAAGGCTTGTGTGGTGCTGTGGTGTGCGTCTCACCACACTTGAGAGTCCTCCCTTTCTGCACGGGCTTTGTCCCTGTTAAGAGATCTGGATGACTTGTTCATTTGTACCCAAAGCTAAGCACTGAAGCACGTACAGAAACACGAGCATCCAAGTAGTCCCACCGACGTTGGGGGACATCACTGAGCAAGGTTGGCGTATGCCTGAGCTTTTCACAGGCCTGATCTCTAATGTAAATGCACAAGACATCCGTTTTCACTGCACTTTATTGTTCTAGAAGTCAGTTTGTGCTGACACAACATGTTCTCTCTGTGTTGCATCTATTGTTTTTAAAATGTAATTTCCAGCTTCTTAGGACACCAATGGATGTTGAGCACATGTCAGTGAAGGCCTAATGTTTCTTTCACAAGAATGCTCTGAAGAGCACTGAATGCATTCTTTCTAGGAAAGATTCAAATGTTTGTAAAACAAAAAGATACAGAAATAGTAGCTGCGTAGAAAAGGAAAAGGACACTGGGAGTAACAGTTTTCCAGAAGTTTTTCTATATCAGAGCTGCACTCTGCTCTCTTCCCTAGCCTTCGTTCCCCACACCTCTATTCCAGTGGTGACTGAGGAGTGACTCTGAAATATGTGAAACCAATTAAGGTTTAAAATCCTGATTAGGGGAAATAAAGGGTGAATGTCAGTTTAAATCAGCTACTGTTTACATGTCCAGAATAAGTTTGAGGGTTTTTTTTCCTCTTTTTTTGCTTGACTTAGCCATGGTAGCTATCTCTCTTCTCTGTATGTTCACTGAACGGTGTCCAATGCCACGTGGCTTTATTCTTCTGAGAGTTTGCATTCCTTAGCTCATAAAGTTTTCTAAAATGTGATTGCCTTCAGTCTGGAGTGTTTAATTATCTGAAAGTGGGCTGGTATGTTTTGATACGTTTAAGAAGTGTTTCAAACACTGTATTGGTACAAGAAAATTAAAAATGAAAGGAGAAAGTGAATGATTAACTGGCTGATCCTTAACTGGATTTCTGGTTTTTGTTTGTTTGTATTTTCTTTTCAGGTGGAAGTTGTGACAGATGTTGGGCTTCAATATAAAGGAGAATTGACTGTTGTTTTACGTTACATTCCCCCAGACAGAAACCTAATGCTTCCTCTAGGGCAGTTTCAAGGTAAAACAAACATTAATGGCAGCATATGATAACATCCTTCTGAGTATTAAAAATCCTCACCTGGAGTGAAGTAATGGTAGCAGTGAGGATTGAAATCATACTTAAATATGCTATTTGTCTTTATCTGTGGAAAGTTTAAACCGTGAGTGTGTTTCTCCTCTTCTCTTACATTGAACTTAAGGAGAAAAAAGCAAAGAGGATTGTGCAGACAAGTGTTGAGGCATGGCCGTGACCTAATTAAAAAAAAAAAAAATCAGACTCTAGATAACATCATCAAGGGCAGCCACATAGAAATAAATTCTCTACATCATAGTCTGTGGATTCATTGTTCAGCTAGTTATATACAATGTATAGCTGACCAAATTAATAGACTTCACTTAGTTCTTCATGATTCATTGTCCTTAAGCTTACCTGTCTCCTCATTTTCACTCTTCTTTCACACTGCTTTATCTCTGCTCAGTTTTACCGAGTCTTGTAAAATATTACTTGAATTCTTTAGGGTAAGCCACTATTTTAATCAGCAATGATCAGGGGAAAATAGTTACTAACTCTTTGCACTGTAGTAGCATGAGGAACAGCAGTCATCTGAAGTGAAAGCAATCACTGGGTAGCACCTGAGTGTACACCAAAATATCAGACATGGGTATATCACTGTCTTTGTGACAGTGTTGCTTGTTAGCGTTAGGATCTGAGAGAGATATTGGAGTTTCTCTTTCTTTTGGACAGATGACGTTCCCTCTGCTAGCAGTATTTCCAAGGTTTTGTCTCTCAAAAGCTGTGTCTGAACAGTCCAGATATACACCATCTGCATTTTTAAAAGTTAGTACATTTTAACATCACTCCTGATACTTTTTTCCTGATGTTTTCAGCCTGAAACAGTGAGTACAATCCCAGTTGACAAGCCTCTTAAAGTCTGCAGCAGCAGCAGCATGTACACACGTCCCTATGATGCAGTTCAAAAGCAATAGGGTGCCAGTGAGCACCAGGTCCTTTGTCGCGGTGTCTGAGCAGCCGTGCAGCCTTGCACATGGATTACACTCAGTGTATTTCTGCATTTTAAGCTCTGGGACAGAGGTTTTATACCTTCTTTATGGTGTATGGCTGCCTTAATGTCAGTGGTGGAAGTGGTTTCTGAAAAGAGGGTCGGACTTATAGGATGTGCAGTTCTTTGTGTTCAGCACAGTAACCCGCAAATACTTACATTAGGGCAGGACTTCAGATAGGGTGCTCTGTTGTGGCCAGCACGTGGACAAGTTCTTCGTCATACATGGAGTGATTTTTCTGCCCCTGCCTTATTGTTTTCTCCACCCATAGGGAATCAGAATGTCCTCATAAGGAATACTTTAATCCCATTGCAGTAAATGATAAAATAATCTGGTCAAGACAATTTAAATATCCTAATCAGTCTTTCAGCGTATATATAATTTCTGATGATGATGTTGCAACTCTGTTTTATGTATAGGAAAGAAGAGCTTTAAAAAAGGAAAAAAGAGAGACTCTCACATGCCATCTGGAGGTATATTAGAAGTCCTTATCAAAGAAGCAAAGAATTTAACAGCAGTGAAATCAGGAGGCACATCTGACACTTTTGTGAAAGGGTCTGTGTTACTTTTTTTTCTTCCCATTTTTTTAATGGCTGCGCTGAATCATATTTTGGCTGACCCATTTTTTTTCAATATACCTCTGTGTGTGTGTATGGAGTGCCAGTCCTGAAAAGCTACTGGCACCTTGAAAGGGTGTGCTGAAGAGAAGGGGGCTGTGTAAAATGGGCAGAGAGGTACAAGTTCTCCCAGGGGTTAAACACAATGACATTTAAATACCACTCAGTCAAGAAACAGAACTATTTATACATAAGTATCCAGTGTGCTAATGTGCCTGCTGTTAGAGAATATAATGTTTGGTAAAAGAAAGCACTTCCACTGAGTCGGCAGAGAGAGGTAGGTGAATATTCATCACTCCTGGAAAGCAAGAGGTTGTAAACTAGGGCTCTTACTTGATTTAACATTGACATTTACATTTTCAGGAAATTGAAACAGTACATGTTTTTTACTAAGAGAAATAGCCAGGCTACATCGTGAATAAGAAACTTGTTTTCAGGAAGACATGAGTCTGTTTGGTTTCCTTGTAAAACTGCAAATAGCACCTATAAAAGTTGGCATGCTCCATCAAGCTAAGGTTTTTTTCTAATGGATGTAGTCTGAAACACGCAGAAAGAGAAAATTCATTGTGTGTGGAGGGAAATTCTGGTTTGATTCAAGGAAATATGCTAAATGAGAAGATTTTTCTCTCTTATTTTAGAAATAGGGTTTGTTTTGTTTTGTTTCTAATATTTAATTGGGAAAGCTCTTTGGCATGAAGAACAGTGTCAAGGAGCACATTTAAAGCCTGAGGGTTCCCAGGAAGTCTATCACTGTCTTGGTCTGTTAACTAAGACGTAGTGTCTTAACTCCGATTGTGTCTCATTCTTAACATAAACATCTTCTGTCAAACAATACTAAAAAAACCCAAAACCAAACACAACCGCTCTGATGGCTTCCAGGTTTGATTTTAAAGATGCAGGATTTTGAAAGATTTAAGGTTGTGTCACTTATATGCCTGTATGCACGTGACTACATGAAAATACATGTAGTATGACATACGTGTACCTTTTTATTAGATATGCAGCATTTTGTGTTGGACAGTCAAAATCCAAACAATACAGAAAAAGCTACGTTTAAGACATACTTGTGTTTGAATAAAATGAACATAATCCTGCCTGTCTCCTTATATTGTATTTTTCATAAAAGTAAGTTATGTGGAAGGAATGTTACATTTAGGATATAATAGATAGCCTAAAACATTTCTCATTGCCAGCGTTGCTCCAATGCTTTCAGAATTGCTGTTTTTTAGATATACTGTAGTTAATTAGTAATGGTTTGAGTGTTGTTACCAAATGGGGATCATATAAAGTATGGCTCTAATTCCTTGGCAGAGCTGAGAATTTATCTTGATCTTGAAGCATGCTTCAAACTATCACTAAGATCATAGAATTAACATAAAAGTTTGGGCAGCTCTTCCAATGTATTTGTTCTCCTGTGCCATCTCTCTTTTCCTGATACATGTGAAGGCATTTGCTTTCACTGAAAATAGACTGTCTGATCCCACTACAGCTTGTTCCCACCTGGAGCTCAGAACAGACTTCAGGGAGAAGATGTTGTCAAAGCCTTTTTACAACAGTGGTAGCAATGTATGGCCAAAGATCCTGTGGACTGTCTTTATTTAGCGGTGTCTGCTGTTGGTGACATGGACTATTCAGTACAGTGGAACAGGAGTCTGCTTTCTTGGGACTATTGGTCTGCCACGTGTCATGGCCAGATGCATAAGCGAGTTGCCATGAACCGGTTGAGGTGCTGCAGTGGTCTAATTCCGTGCTGTTGGATTGAGTAATTTGACACAGGTTAACCCAGAGTCAGCCCACTGCAGTAAAGTAGCTCATGTTTATTGTCAAGTAAAAACCTGCACAGGAACACTGATGGCGGTCCAGTGATAATTTGTCTGTATGTCTGGACCTTTAGTATTTATGTGCAACCACAGTGTTATTTCATCAGCTTTGCTGAAGGGGGTGAAGGTACAGACTTGGAACATTTGTAGAGACCTCTGATTTTTAACTAGAGTGTGAATTCTTTTAGTTTCCCTAAAGGAATTCTTCACTAAAAGTAGAATGTGAAGACCTTGTCAAACTTTACAGCATTTGTGTTTCTGCACTCCATAGGGCTTTGGGCAACTCAGATCAGCAGGTCGAGGGAAGTTATCCTCCCCCTCTGCTCTGCGCTGGTGAGGCCTCACCTGGAGCACTGTGTCCAGTTCTGGGCTCCGCAGCTCAAGAAGGACAAGGAAGTACTGGAGAGGGTCCAGCACAGGGCCACTGAGAGGATTAAGGCCCTGGAGCACCTTCCGTATGAGGAAAGGCTGAGAGAGCCGTGTCTCTTTAGCTTGGAGAAGGGGAGGCCGAGGGGGGATCTTATCAATGCTTAGAGGTATCTAAAGGACGGGTGTCAGGAAGATGGGGCCAGGCTCTTCTCAGTGGTGTCCAGGGACGGGACTGGGGGCAACAGCCATAATCTGGAAAACAGAAGGTTCATCCTGAACTTGAGGAAACACTTCTTCACTGGGAGGGTCAGACAGCACTGGAACAGGCTGCCCAGAGGGGTGGTGGACTCCCTTGGAGACTTTCAAAAGCCGCCTGGACTTGTCCCTGTGTGGTCTACTCTAGGTGATCCTGCTCTGGCAGGGGGGTTGGACTAGGTGATCTCTAGATGTCCCTTCCAACCCCTACCACTCTGTGAATCTGTGTAATGATGCTAACCCATTGAAGTTTCTTCCTTATCAGTCATTTCCATTTCTTTCGGAGAACCTCCTGTCCTGCTTTCAGAGGGACGCTGGACGAGGTGACTCCAGAGGCCCCTTCTAGACAAGGTTTTTATGATTCTGTCTATATTTACCCTCACTGAAATAAAAAGTTTGTGTGTAAGACTCAAGACTTGGGGCAAGGAGACTTAATTCTAATTTCTGCCAGTGATAACTCGCATTGTAACTATAAGAACAAATGGAGCACAAATGCAAAATATGCACCTCAGGTATATGCTTCATTTAATAACCGTGGGGAAATGGGAGTCCTGATCCCATTTGAGCCTCTACATGATTGTAATTCTTTGTGAATATTATGTGAAAACCCATGTACATATTCAATTTTCCTTTTCCATATCTCCCAGATACCTGCTCCCGGACGACAGCAAAGCTACAAAACACAAAACTCCCATCATAAAAAAGAGTGTGAATCCCCAGTGGAATCATACCTTTGCTTTCAGTGGACTGAATTCAAGGGACATACGTAACGTCTGCCTAGAATTGACTGTGTGGGACAAAGAGTCACTCTCCAGTAATATTTTTCTGGGAGGTGTCCGTTTGAGCACTGGAAATGGTAAGCTCCCATCTGACTCATGACTGCTTCTGTTATTCATCTCTCCTTCTTCCTAGATGATTTAGTTCGTTCTTCTGTTGAGGGAGAGAAAAAAAATTTGAGCCTAGCTATGTTTCTGCAGAGTCTAGAACTGGGAATGCCTTGAAAGTGTTTCTTAGCATCCAAGTCATATGGAGAATGAGGAGGTGATTGGTGACAGCCAACATGGCTTGACCAAGGGCAGATCGTGCCTGGCGAACATGGTGGCCTTCTATGATGGGGTCACAAACTTGGTGGATAGAGGACGGGCAACCAATTTCATCTAGGTGTACTTGTGCAAAGCCTTCGACACCTCCCGCATGACATCTTTGTCTCTAAATTGGAGAGACATGGATTTGATGGATGGACTGCTCGATGGATAAAGAACTGGCTGGCTGGTTGCACTCAGAGAGTGGTGGTCAGTGGCTCAGTGTCTGAGTAGAGACCAGTAACGAGTGGCGTTCCTCAGGGATCTGTGTTGGGACCAGTACTGTTTAACATCTTCATTAGTGACATGGATGACGGCATTGAGTGCACCCTCAGCAGGTTTGCTGACGACACCAAGCTGTGTGGTGCAATCGACACGCTGGAGGGAAGGGATGCCATCCAGAGGGACCTGGACAGGCTGGAGAGGTGGACCACTGCCAACTTCATGGAGTTCAACAAGGCCAAGTGCAAGGTCCTGCACCTGGGTTGGCCAAAGTACAGGCTGGGTTGAGTATGGATAGAAAGTCCTTCTCCCTGAGGAGAAGGACTTGGGGGTACTGGTGGATGAAAAACTGAACATGAGCCGGCAGTGTGCGCTGGCAGCCCAGAATGCCAACCGTATCCTGGGCTGTATCCAGAGAAGCGTGTCCAACAGGTCGAGGGAGGGGATTCTCCCCCTCTACTCTGCTCTTGTGAGACCCCACCTGGAGTGCTGCGTCCAGCTGTGAAACTCTCAGCATAAGAAGTATATTGGGTTGGAGCGAGTCGAGAGGATACCCACGAAGATGCTCAGAGGGCTGGAGCACCTCTGCTATGGGGACAGGCTGAGAGAGTTGGGCTTGTTCAGCCTGGAGAAGAGAAGGCTCCGGGGAGACCTTATAGCACCTTCCAGTGCCTGAAGGGGCTACAAGGAAGCTGGGGGGACTTTTTACAAGGGCCTGTAGTGACAGGACAAGGGGTAATGGGTTTAAATTGAAAGCGGGGAGGTTTAGATTAGATATCAGGAAGAAGTTCTTCACGGAGAGGGTGGTGAGGCACTGGAACAGGTTGCCCAGAGAAGCTGTGGCTGCCCCATCCCTGGAAGTGTTCAAGGCCAGGCTGGACGAGGCTTTGAGCAACCTGGTCTAGTGGAAGGGGTCCCTGCCCATGGCAAGGGGGTTGGAACTAGATGGTCTTTGAGGGCCCTTCCAACTCGAACCATTCCATGGGTCTATGATTCAGTGAGGAGTAGGAGATTACTTTTGTCCAGCATAAGCCGTCCTGCTGACTGTGGTGTCATCTGGAAGAGCTGTGAATCCATTCCTCTGTGAGGAGAAAGTTGCTTGTTGGTGCGGAGTGGGGAGGTTTATAGGACTCTGTCCATGTACCAAAAAGGATTTCAATGTCAAACTGGTGTTGTCCAGGAGCTACCTGTTTCCAATATAACTCCCTGTACAAGCGGTAAAGTGCTTGTCCTCTTGCTTGTACAGTGTTGTAGTAAATAAGCAAGGACAGTCAGTAACTGCTTACTGACATGGCAAAATGCCTCCTGTTTTTTTAATTGCCAGGTGTCAGTAACGGCAAGGAGGTTGACTGGATGGACTCTCAAGGGGAAGAGCAGCACCTCTGGCAGAAGATGATTGACAGTCCAGGAGCTCCTGTGGAGGGGATATTAATGCTGAGATCCAGCATGGGAAAACGCAGACCCTGAAAGACTGAGGGGGTACCACAGGTACTCCTGTCGTCGGTGGCATTCAGGCTCCTGTCACTTTGCCCATTTGAAAGTGAGGAAGGGTGTTGTACTCTTTGCCTTGGATATTAAGGCTCCGAGGGGGACGTTAATGCATTCCGCACTTGGATGAGCATGTTTTTAACCCAGGCTTTGTGTACAGATTGTGTTTCTCCTGGAGCCGGTGAGAGTCTGACCTTGTACAGCGATCTGACTAGCTTTCCCTGTCCTGTGTGGGGACTGGTGCGCAGCTGATGAGCACCTCTGCCCGTGGGGGCCACGGAGGGAACAAATTCTCTAGTTAGTCATTTAGTAAGTAACCCCTGGTTTATGTATCTCCTCCCGGGTCAGAGATGGCCTGGAAGACAGCAGTGGTACAGTACGAGCAGATTCAGAGTGAGTCTGTGCTTTGGTATTTGAGAGATGAGAAGCCATAATGCTACCAAGGATGACAAACCACGTTTCTCTGTCACGCTTGCTGGTTGGTCTGCACAGGGTGGCAGGCGTGGGACCAAGCAGCCCGCCAAGGAAGGCTGGAAATTGGCAGCTGGTGCTCAGTACTGGTGTTTTGGCACACTCCGGGTTGTTTCCGTGTGCTGTATAAAAGGCTGACTTGGCTCAACGTAATCAGAGAGCCTCTGATGAAAATAAATCGTACCAAATCTCCCAAATAGTTTCCAGAATGACATGGTGTTACAGTGTTTGTCGTTCAGTTGGCAGCTCTAGCCAAGATCTTCTGATGTCATTGAACAGACGGAATATGTTCACAGGCCTGTCCCCATCCGAAGCGTGGCTGAGGTGAGACACGTACTGGGTTTGGACATGGTTAGCTAAGACCTTGATTCAACAGATTGTGTAGCACAGTGATGTGAGTAAGGCACATGACGGAACGATTTGCACAACACTGGAATTTTCTCTGAATGGGTTGGGATCCCATCCCGGTGTGCCCACGCTTGGTAATAACCAGAGGAGGACTTTCTTCTTCAGAACATGCCCCAGTGAGAGTTAGAAGTAAGGTTTGGCCAATTCAGTCTTATTAACCATGACAGTTGTTCAAGTGTAATTTTACCATTTGGTTTCCTAAAGTGATTTTATACCTACTTCAAATCCCCCATCCTTTGGGGATTTACACAGGTTGTATGTGAAGAGCATGCTATTTCGCCTATTCCTACCATAATGAGATAGGATTATAACCTTTTTTTTCAAGGGCAGCACATGCCTGCTTGCAAGATTGGACAATCATATGACTGCACGGCATGTGAGTGCTCAGGGTTTAAGACAAAGGAAGATCAGTAAAGAGAGTGAACAACATTTCTTCTGAATTTTCCAGAGTTAGAACGCAGCTTCCTATTTGAACTGGTAAATTCATCTACAGCTATTCTTACCTTTTTTCTTCTTTTTTTTTTTTTCCCCCCAAATGTTTTATTTTTGGAAGCAGTGTAGTATTAGTATATGGAAACATAATCCTCACATAAATGACTGGAAAAAACCCCACCAACTTTCAAAGAATGTATCATTCACTGTAGATCAAAAGATCAGTATTCAAAGATTTCTGTGAAGAATAAAGACCATAAAATCTAACTTCTTTGAGAGATATAAATGTTGTTCTCCACAATCCAGAAGTTGCAAGAAATCTAGATTGAACACCAGAATATGAACAGATAGCCAAATAATTACAGCTGGAAATTTTGACATCTGTAGCTGTCCCCATGTACAGTTATGCATATATATTTAGAGCTGAATCCAAAACCTTAAAATCTAATGTCCATTCCCTTTGTTTTTTAAAGATAATTTATACTGGTTTTAGTTTGAGTGGCTTGAAACTGCAGGGAAGTTTACAAGCAGTCTTTTAAAATCCTGATGTTGTTAGATTAAAAAAAAATATTTATTTTTGTTAAAAATATTATCTTAGTTCTAATAAAACAATTTGCTTCATTATGAACATTTTCTAATAAATTTCTGGTATGACTTTAAAAAGGCACTGGAGGTACTGCTTGCCCAGTTTGAGATCCATAATGCTCAGAAATTACCAAGTCCTCTTTGAAAATAAAATTCCCTTACAGAATCTCAGTTTGGGAACCAAAAGCCAGTAGTTGTACAAGAAAACTGATTTCACTTACCTTCTTTACCTATTCTTCATTTTCATCTGAAGTCCTGCTCAAATTGGGCAGTGAATGTAGCCTGGTCTACTTTTAGCTGGCTTTTCATTTAATGCCGCAGATGCTGGGAGATGATAAATTAGAGCACAAATATCAAGCACATGCGTTTTATGACTTTTTTTCTTACCGTAATAGTCTTTAAATATTTATTTATTTGTTTATTTTGGTATCAGCATCCCCAAGAGTGAAACCAAACCTAACTTTTGAATGATATTTTCTAACTTTCTAAGCATGAATATTTTAGCCAAATCAAATCTTGCTTTGAAAGGAAAAAGTCTGGGATTTACTACTTCCTTCCAATGGCCAAAATTTCACCGTGAGCCTGTATCTGAAATTACAGAGCGGGTTATGAACATACTGCAGGTGTCAAATGCAGTTCAGCATATGAAAGGACCAACTTCACCTGAGAAGCAATTTCAGCCAAGGAGGGGGTGTTTGCCATTGGTGGGATTTGGTGCAGTGAAATTACCTCCTAGGTTAGCAGTGACAGTTCTGCATTATGGTAGCATATAATAGGTATCACGGTCTGCTTCAAATGAGCTTCAGAGAGATGATGAGCATCGTATAAACACTAGAGCAATTTGGAAAGCTTTGCTGTTCTATGATGTTATCAGCACATTTGTAGGAAGCGTTTGATTTGTGGAAAATGTCACATTTAATTATATCTCTTACATCTTTGTTCCCTTCCTTTATAAAAAATGATTTATGGTTTGAAAAAAGCACAAGATGATTAACTGCAGATGTGATTTCATGTTTCCCAGATACTTGAATTAATTGCCTATAATTGTGCTTCATCATGTACTGTGTGTAACCAGGCTGAACAAAAAGACAGAAAGCCAGGAATTAGGCAAAATCCTTATTTCTGTACGTATCTTTATGGTATTGAAGGTGCATGAATGGTTTATTCAAGACTAATTTTTAGGAGAAAATAGACACAATTTTACCACTGATTCATAAACTCCTGCCCTGAGTAAACAGGCACAGCAGAGCTGGTGTTTTTGAAGTATTTTTCCACACAGACGTGAATAACTAAAGATGCATCAGTGGAGAAGAAATCTTGTCTGCAGTGGGTTTTGAAAATGTCCTGCACAATGTGTTTTACCCTGAAACGTTTTTTCTAGCAAGGTAACTACAGGGCTTTTATCACTATCTTTTCCCCCTATTGATTAGATTTTGAGGGGCTGACCCATTAAAGAAGAAGAAAAGTGCAACTTCCTCCATAAAATGTCCAGTGGGGCCAGTAAATACCTATTGAGGCAGTGTGGTTATTGCCAGTGTCCATCAAAAAGAGCTGATGCTGAGGGCTCTCCGAGCCCTGCCATCAGACTTCAGTATCCAGCCCTGCTCTCCAGAAGTTTCTCTGCTCTTTATTAGCTAAATGGGTACTTCAGGCTTCTAAATGCTGATGCTTTCGCTTGTGTGCTGAGATGCCAAAAGCTGGATTACAATAGGTTTGAAATGCTCCCCCCTCCCCCCGTGCTACGCTTGAGTGAGGGTGGGAGGAAAGCTGAAAAGACCCGGGGGGACACCGCTGTCATCTTCCTGTGCTGATCCAACTGCTACTGCCTTCCTTGAATGCCTTTTGGATGCCACACAGCGATCCTTCTGTCCCAACCGGATGCGTTAGCAGATGTTTTAAGGGAGAAGGCACTGGGATGGCAACTATGTTCTGATCATGATGCATTAGACTGGAAGTTTACTATTCTGTGCCCCTTCCAATATAGGTTATTGTAAGGCAGCATGAAAGCAGAATTTTTATGTGTTAACTTTTAATTTTTCTTTTCCTGCCTGGTCAGGCCCTGCCAAGTGCAATTACTCTGCAAAAGTTCAACTGAACTACAACAGCAGAGCAGCCGTTGAGCATCCGCTGGTGCTAACTGGTGAAGAGAGGTAACAGGGGGGTTGCATTTAGACGGGCAGCATTTTGGCTTCTCGAAGGGTGATACACGTGGCCCCGTCTCAGGCATGTAAAGTTTATGGCTTGCTTAGGTCAATGAAGAGAAAGGCTGCATAGATCTCATACACCTTCAAAAAAGAGCTGAGAGTCCTATTTCCACAGCTCTCTAGTTTGTGGATTCACACGAGATAATAAGGGTTGTACCTGAATCTTTGTAAGGGGGTCTCTTCCCTTCATCCCCCCCTTCGATTCTGCGACCCTCACCAGAAGGTTCTACCAGAACATTAATCTCCAGCATCTGCAAGGAGGCAGTGTGCAGCAGCTAAGCGATAGCCCCACTTATTTTCATCCATACGAGAGAAAGCCTGAAATTTTACTTCCCTGACATACAGTATTGATTTTCAGCTCTTTGCAACGATGACAGAAATAACCATCTCCTGAGAGCTGGTCCATGCACTTTGTAAACGTTGGGGTTTTTTTTAAAATAGTTCTTAAAAAACATTATTATTTATTGATTTCCACCCCCCCACC